AGAATAGAGGTTTTTCCTACTGGACTGTCTGCTCTGACTTTTGAGACGTTGGCTTGCCAGCTGGGAATAGAGTTTGTGTAACAGTAGAAAGCCCTCACTTGTGAATCTCTGGTTTGCATTAGACCATTATGGTTTATTGTTCTGAGGACTCTTGAAGGTGGATTCAAACCCATGGTGCCATGCGACCTCTCCAGGGTGAGCCATTTCTTTAAAATGGATGTTTACTTGACATTGCTGAGTTTAGAAATTACTTGGGTAAATCTTTAGATACAATTCATCACCATCATGTATCAAATAAGGATAATCTAAATGCCTTGAAGGCATGTATAAAATATGTAATTGCCCTTGAAAATAAGCACAAATAATTTACTGGTAAACATTTGATTTACCAGACCACATCCCACTTCCTCAGGCTGCAGTCTGTTCCACAAATACTGTTAAAACCCATATTTATTTATTGGTTCACTGTGATCCTAAGTCAGTGGCTACTTCTAAGGCTTTTTTTCTGAGTCAAAAAGTAATAAGAGACAGAGTAAAGGATATTTTATTGATTCAACCGTTGACTTCTCTGACTTCCATTGCTCCCTGGGCTGATTGGCGGGCTGATGCTCATTAGACCTCACCTAAACCATTGGCAATCAAGATCGCACCTACCCACCTCCAATCTGAATTTTGTGTGCTTACCTCTCTGATCCTCCTAGCAAGATTTTCTTTCTTTTTTTCTTTCTCTGCAGCCAGGTGTGTAAAGACCAGCCCTCAAATCAGTTGTCCTTATTTGTGACTTCACACTTTGTCTGAGGTTCTCTTCCTCTCCTCCCAGTTCTGCATTCTCATCTCCATCTCTCCCTGACCTCCTGGTCTAAAATTCTCTTAGACTTGACTGTTCACCCCCATGACCCCCATCCCCAAGAAGTTGTCATGTCCAATTCCACTGACCTAGACATTCCTGAGTATAGAAGTCAAACTGTGTACACAATGAAGAATATTCTTCTATTTCGCTCTGGGCTTTCAGCATTCCCAGTGTGAACACTGGTGGTCCCCACACCTGCTCTGGGCCACCCCAGTTGGATTGTATGGACAAAGATAGCCTTTTATTTCTTTGGCATCTCATGTTGAAAAAGCACTCTACCATCCATGTCTGTACATATATTTTGTTCACTGTCTCATCTGGGTCTAGTGTATCTTTGTTTTCAAATGACTGTTAAAGTGTATATTAAGTATTTTATTATTGAAGGCAATGTCCACAATAAGTTTTCATATGTGCTCTTTCAAATACAGCATAAAAGTGATATATTGTTTTATTTGTATGTATTTGCATATATCTACAAATACATATTTACCACTAAATTATTCATGCTTATTTTCAAGGCAATTACATATTTTATACATGCCTTCAAGGGATTCAGATTATCAAATCATGCTGATGATTTGTATCTAAAGATTTACCCAAGGGATTTTTAAACTCAGTAATGTCAAGTGAACAGCTGTTTTAAAGAAATGGCTCACCCTGGAGAGGTCACATGGCACCATGGGTTTGAATCCACCTTCAAGACCCTTCAGAACAATATATCACTTATCTTACCTTCTCATTGCCTACAAATCTAGAAGAAAGATGGGGTAAAAACAGCAGCAGGAGAAAATGGAGAGATTGGAAAACCTTGTCTCAAGTCAAGAATGGGCTTCAGAGATACGTGGAAAATTGCACAAAAAGGAATAAAGGTTTTCCTACTATATGATATGTCCATAATTGCTTGTTCATTTCTTTTTCATAGTGTTATTTGCCTCACCAAACTAAATCATCATAAGAAAAAGAAAGCTGGTTTATTTTGTTTAGGAAGGCACCTTATTAGGCTTTTTGATTTATGTGTATGGATATACCAATTCAGTTTTCCTGGGTCTCAACCTGTAAGATCAGAGTTCTGAACAGGGCTAATAAATGAATTTGATTGCAGTGCACCTGCTTAGTCTGCTAATATATAGTAATTTATGAATATTATAATTATTCACAGCTATTTAAGAATGGAGAATATTCCAAGCATGCTTAACAAATCCATTATGCATGAAGAACTGTATGTATTTAGATGATTCCTGGGGGTAGTAGCATTATTCATTCCACATGTTTGAAGATGTTTTCTTGAGAATTTCAGTGTGTTACAGAATCTCTGCCTGCAGACCCCAGTGATATCTGCTTACCACTGGAAGCAAGTTCTTTGTACCCAAAATAGCCCTTTTTAAATTTTACTATCCTTGGGACTTGAAGAAAAAGAAAGGAAAACCTAGACCATATTTACTTGTAAGGATGGACACAGTCCCATGAGGCATTTTGCATTAAACTTCTGGAAAAGCATTTCATATGTTGCTCCTTGTAGGAAGCTGGGATAAAGCAAAGAATTCTGCTGACATCTGCAGCTGTTTTAACTTTTGAAAGCTTATAAATGTGCTATGACAGCTAAGCCTCAATACCAGTTTTTTTGCATTCCTTCATGAATTCATTCACTATAAAAGTACTGAGTGCCCATGATGTACAAGCACTGTGCTTGGTGTTAGGAGCAGTGTGATAAGGAAAAGAGGCTCACCTCTTGGGGTTTACATTTCAGGAGGGGAGACAGATGGTAGGAAAGTAGTTATGCAGTTTTGTACGCACAAACACACACACATGTATTAACCATTAGCTGTGGGAGGTGCTAAGAAGGAAAGGTCCAGGGTGCTCTCCGAGTGTCCAGGTAACATGAGGTCGGAGAAATCTTCCTTAGGGCACTGAGCTTTGAGCTGAGATGTGAGGGAGGTGGCATTAATCAAGATGGGTAGAGGTGTGGGTGGATGGGAGACAGAAAGTGTGACTGTGATGGTTACATTGATCTGTCAGCTTGGTTGGGCTGCGGTGCCCAGTCGTTCAGTCAAACAGCAGTCTAGATGATGGCATAAAGTTTTGTCTGTGTGTGATTATCTTTTAAATCAGTAGACTTTGATTCAGGCAGATTACCCTTCAAATTGTGGATAGCCCTCATCTAGTCAGTTGAAGGCCTTAAAAGCAAAAACTGAGGTCTCCCAAAGAGGAAGGAGTTAAAATGCTGCCTCCAGACAGCAAAGTAGAAATTTTGCCTGAGTTTCCAGCCTTTAGACTCAAGACTGCAACATCAACTCTAGCTGGGGTTTCCAGCCTGCCAGCCTGTCCCATGGGTTTTGGGCTTGCCACCCCCCACAGTCATGTGAGCCAGTTCCTTAAAATAAATCTCTCTGTTTGCCTGTCTGTCTCTCCTTTTTCTCTAGATAGCTAGATAGGTAGGTAGCTAGCTATCTAGCACTAGAGCTGTAGATGTAGATGTAGTTCTGTCTGCTATTGGTCCTGTTTCTCTGGAGAACCCTAATACAGGAGGTGAGGAAGACTAGCACAAGGAACCACATGGACAAAGGCTCTGTGGTGGGAGACTGGCATTTGAGGGAATAAAAAATGGGCAGTATTACTGAAGCACAGAGAGCTCAGGGCTGAAGGAGTAGCCAGGCCAGAGTTTTGTGCTGAGAAGCAACTTTATGCAGAGCTGGGACTTTAAACACAGCTGCAAATATTAATTCCTTGAATTTGTCTATGACTCTATTCTTTAAAATCCACTCAACCTTCAGAATTTTCAATTATAAAATATTATATTTTCTTATGCTTTTCTTACCACTCTATAAGATTTCCAATCAATCACTTACATATACTAAAATTCTTTTCCCTCTTCTTATCGCTCTCCTTTCCCTTATATATAGTCTGCTGCCTCCCTAAACGTTTCCTCTTTTGACCTTCAAATTACCTGTGATGTTGAGCATTTCTGCTGAGTCTTTAGGTCCAAATTTGAACTTTGGTTGCAGTGTATCCACTCAATTAATTTTGCTCCCATATCCTTTGCTGTGACATTTGGTTGTGAGACCCTGACTTTCTTTTGAGAAATTATGCCTCTCTCATTCTGAACTATCTTGGAGGCTGCCAGTAAAGGTGCCCTGCTTTACCTAAGCTAGTGTGTGGGATCTTGGGCAGGAGAGGAGGTGGCTGGACCTGATTCATCTTCCTAGTGTCTCCTTGAAAAGAAGGCCCAGCTGTTCTTGCTATCTAGGTCCTCAGCTCTGCCCTGGCTTCTTTACTTTCTGAAACCAGGATTTCCAGTTTTACCTTTAAAGTTGTAAGCGACCCCATATACCCCTATTAAGTCCCTTCTTTCAAGTTTGCTAGGAACAGTTTCTGAGGCTTGCAACCTAAACAGCCTACTGCTTCAGCATGAAAGGAGAAGCATGAAGAGTTAGGTGTAACTGCAGATCACAGTATGGGTGAAGCCAGAACCAGTTGGGTCCATCAGTGAGTCTGTTATTGAAGAGTTTCAGAACTTCTCCCAGAATTCCAAGAGAGGTGCAGTCTCGGGGACATGGCATGAGTTCTATGCAGAATGTAGGAACTTAATCCTTTATTTTGTGCCACAGAAAATGACTGGTCAGCCTGGGTTGTAGAGAATAGATGCCCAATAAAGCAGTGTCATGGAAAAGAGCTCCCTGAACCTGCTACAGGTACCCGCCATGACCCGGATCAGCTTGGAGGTCACAGCCAGAACCATCGTCCTCTTAAGGCCTCAAAGGGCCAGAGAGCTCACCTCCTGAGAGAACTCCATGGCCATAAGGGCCTTATTCTAAAATGGCTATTCATGCAACTCTGTTTCTGCGGGAGGAATATGTAGCCCAGGCCAAAATGAGGATTACGGCTTGTCTAGCAAATAGAGTCAATGAAAATAAATATGCTGACAATTTTGCTTCTTACATGAATCTTGTGGGATTAGTTAATGTACATCCACTGCTGAGACACTGATCGAATACCTGAGCTTATGAATCTGAAGATTGGGCTATAGAAGATTGGGCTGTGACTATCTATGGTCAGTTCATTCATTCAAATAACATTATGAAACCATAACTTCTTTGCAATTCCATAAAGTCATATTTTTCCCTTATTTTATCTTACAGGCAAAGGTTGCCTGTCCAAGAAGTCTCTCTAGGACAGGAATGACATGATCACATTACAAAGAATCCTGGTTGTGGGACAGAGAGACTCTGGCAGAAGAGAGAGCTGGTAAGCAGTTCCCATGAGGGCCTTGAGGAAAGTTGAAGAGATCTGCCCTGAGGCCATGGCTGTGGGGACAGGGTGGGATGCCAGCTGCTGGATTGAACTAGGGTCTTATACCTCCAGGACCTGTTGGATGTAAAGGGTGAGGGATTGGCTGGAATCAAAGAATGCTAAAGAAAGCTTTGTCATTTTTCATTCGTTAAATAGCCTTGTCTGAATTCCCACAAACAATGCTGTGATAATTAAATTGTGACAGTATGAAAAACCAAATCTGAATTAAATTAGTGCTATGTCAGCCCATCGCACAAAACCACAAATTCCCTAAGAGGTTTAGCAACATATTGGATAAAGTGAAATTAATCCTTTAGAGCCACAAGTTGACATATGCGTATGCTATGAATCCATAAACTGTACTGTGGGCATTAGAAAAGGAAGCTAAAAAATGCAGGCAAACACATCTGTATTCTGTCCTGCAAATAAAGCCTAGTTCACGATGTCATTTTCTTTTGTAGTGTTGAACCAGGAGGAGGTTGGGAAATGTCCACCTCATTGACCTTTACAATCCACTGTGCTGTTGATTATACCCCCACACAAATTGGATGGCGCTGTGCAGTCAGGTCACTATTTAATCTGACTCATTAGCCTAAATTTAGACACGGCTGTGATTCTAACAGCAAGTGACAAAAACCAGAGAATTTCAAGTTCTTGTTGGCTGCTCAGGGTTACATTCCCCTCAGGCGAAGTCGGAGCTGCCAGCCGCATTAATGAAAATAGCCAGCCTGTTAGGAGAATAATAACCAGGAGGTGCTGCAGATAAGAATTGTAGAGGATTAAAACTCTCTTCAACTTTTGGCTTCCTAGTTAAAATACTTCCTTTGTTTTGCATATTTTTAAAAGCAAGACCTGTAAGCAAATTTGGTGACTGTCCACTAGCCTGCATGAAATAAAGGGCTGTGTGGTTATGTGATGAATTGGAATCATTACTGTAAACAGTCTTGATGTTGGGAGCAGATTTTTGGCTTTAATCTGTGTGAAATAGTTGCAGATTTGCCAATAAGTCATAGAATACAGTAGTTCGTATGTGATTCTGAAGCCCTAGTTACAGATATTTTGAAAACTGGACCCCACTGATGCCTGAAAGAACCAGAAACGAGTCTCATCTGATTCCTTTGGACTTACTAATACTTCACTTTCAGGGGTACAAAGAGGGCTTTGTACCCCTGAGCTGATAGGCCCCGCTGGAGGGGATGTGCATGGCAGGGAATGTGCCAAGAGACTTAAAAAAGAAAATAGAAAGGCAGTGTAGACACTGTCTAAATGAAGTGCCATGTTTTTGTTCACTCTATAGAGCCCCGTTTTTGTGCACAGCAGATTCAGGAACATCCAAACACTGGCTTTGCTTAAGTTAATGTGCTCACCTCCTTTATATTCTCTTCTAATTAGCAATGCTATTATGCTTAACATGCTTCAAATGCCAATATGCTTAATTTTATTAGGAAACAGCACAAGCCTCTCGATTTGGGATAATAAAAATTATTTCTATTCTTCTATTTTAACAGATGGGTGTAGCTAGAACTCTTGCAGGGGTAGATTTCCTGGGTTCTAATCCCCAGTTCAGGAGTTGCAACATTTTTGCAATCAATGCTGCCTTTTGAATGATGGTAATTTTGATGACAATCTCCAAACATTAAACTGGACAGCAAAACACTAGTGTAACTAGTCCAACTGTGAAGCCATGTCATCTGCAGTTATTATCACAGGCACAGTCACTCTGCAAATGGTATAGCTGCTTCAGTAGATTGACTGCTCTGCCCACCGTCTCTTATGTACTCACGAGGAGAGTATATCACATTCCCAGTAAGCACACTGTCTTTCTTTGAATACTCTGCTTCTTAACATTTGTTCTAAACTTGTGACTCCCTGCTCTGTACCCCACTCTGCAAACCCACAAATCTTAAACATTCCGTCTGGCATGCATTGCCAGAGTGGTGAGTTTTACTCTGTTGCAGCAAAAATAAATTTTATACAGAGATGAAAACTTGGCAGCACATTTATGTGGCTTTTGAGCATGCCTTGGAAAACTGCCTTTGCACAATATTAACACCTCAGATAATCTCAGGCAAGTCACAGAAATTGTGTCTTGATTTCTCCTTCTGCCAAATCTGGGTAAATCTGGTTTTTACAGAAATACCAATGAAAGCATCGTGAGTACTCTAAAGGCAAACAGTTATGCAGGTTGGATTCTCTAGGAAACTGACTGTGAGATGGATCAGCACAGCAGAAGGGTACTAGGGAGTATTCCTGGGATTAAGAAGTATGGAAGAAATGGAACAAGGAGGACATGGCAGAGGAAAAACTGGCTTTGGTTCCATCTAAGGTCAGCCAACCCCATGAAAAACTCTGAGGCTGGCATGGTGCTTTTGGGTTGTGCCACTCTGAAGTGAGGGAGCGAACTCTTTGTCCAGGTTGACCAGTCATTGAACACAGTCCACCCTAGGAAGGCATGGTGACTTAGGGTGCAGGGGCACTCTTGTTTTGAGGCAATTTCTGGAGTGAGTGTTCTGCAGGGATCTGTCATCTGACAATCTTCCCAGCAAGTGGGGCACCAAGCCTTTATTCATGAAGTGGGGGTCTAGGATGCCCAGCATAGGACACATGAGAAAAACCAAGCGAGAAGCTGTTTAGGTGAACTGCTTTGCGTTGGTTTCCCAAGGAGACAGAATTATGACACGACTGGTTGCAGAGAGGATCCCTTTTCTTTACCTCCAGCACAGTCACACAAAGTACCCGTGCTCCCTGATGACTCAGCATTCTGAGGAAAGGTCTGTAAGTTTCTTACAAAGCTAAACATATTCTACACTAGGTACTTATCCTAGAGAAATGAAAGGATGCGTTTATAAGAATTTTCGTAGAAGTTTTGTGCAAAAATTTTGCCTAAGAATCTTTGTAGAAATTTAATCTGTAATAGCCAAAGCCTAGAAACAATCCAGGTGGAATAGTTATCAGCAGTAAAAAGGAATGCCCTACCAATACATGGAGTAACATGGGTGATTCTCCAAAACATCATTTTGAGTGACAGAACCTAGTTCCAAAAAGTATATACTGTATAATTGATTTATCAGAAGTCCTAGAATGGGCAACACCAATCTATGGTGGAAACCTCAGAACAGTGTTTGCCTCTGAGGATGGGGAGTGAGAGAGGGGATTGACTGAGAAGGGTTATGAAAGAACCTCCTGGGAACGGTCTGCTTCTTAATATGGACATGCATTTGTTAAGACTCAGCAATGTAGTTTAATATTGGTGCATTTCATTATATGTAAATTTCCCATTAAAAGAAAAATTGTAAACAAATATTGAACTCTACTTAATTATTTACATACAGATTATTTGAGGGTAAACTGTAGTGACACACTTTACTTTGTAATGTGTCAAAAAATAAAATGGATTAATGGGTAAAGAAAACATGGATAAATGTAAAGGCGTGCTAATCTAAGTATAGTAAAAACTTAATGATACTGCCTGGGTGGTGGGTATATGAGTGCATATAAAATCCTTTCAACTTGGTCTTTGAAAATGTCAAAATAAAATGTTAGGGTCAATACATTTGGGGACAATGGGGATGGTTCAGTAAGAGTGGGATATTAGGTGATTTTTAGGGAATTATTTTTTCAAGTGTTCTTTGGTGGTTTAGTGGTATTGTGGTTATGCTTGAGAGCTTATTCTTATGAGAAGTGAACTAAAACATTTAATAATGAAGTATCATAATGTCTGCAACTCATTTGGAAATGATTCAATAAAATTTAGATAATTGGGCAAATAGGGCAAAATGTTAACAATTGTTGAATCTAGACCATGATTACTGGGATGTTTATTTTTCTTTTTTTTTATTAACGTGTCATTGATATACAATCTTATGAAGGTTTCACATGAGCAACATTGTGGTTACTACATTCACCCATATTATCAAGTCACCCCCACATCCCATCGCAGTCACTGTCCATCAGCATAGTAAGATGCAATAGAATCATTACTTGTCTTCTTGGTGCTATGTTGCATTATGTGACCTACCTATATGATGTGTGCTGATCATAGTGTCCCTTAATCCTCTTCTCCCTCCATCCCCACCCACATTCCCAACCCCTTCCCTTTGGTAACTGCTAGTCCCTTCTTGGAGTCTCTGAGTCTGCTGCTGTTCTGTTCCTTCAGTTTTGCTTCATTGTTAAACTCCACAAATGAGGGAAATCATTTGGTACTTGTCTTTCTCCACCTGGCTTATTTCACTGACCATAGTATCTTCCAGCTCCATCCATGTTGTTGCAAATGGTAGGATTTGTTTCTTTCTCATGGCTGAATAGTATTCCATTGTGTATTTGTAGCACATATTCTTTATCCATTCATCTACTGATAAACACTTGGATTGCTTCCATATCTTGGGTATTGCAAATAGTGCTGCAATAAACACAGGAGTGAATAAGTCTTTTTGAATCTGTGATCTTGTTTTCTTCAGGTAAATTCCTAGGAGTGGAATTCCTGGGTCAAGTGGTATTTCTTTATTTAAAATTTTTTTTGAATCATTAGTATACAATTACATGAGCAACATTGTGGTTACTAGATTTCCCTCATTATCAAGTCCCCACCACATAACCCATTACAGTCACTGTCCATCAGCATAGTAGGATGCTATAGAATCACTAATTGTCTTCTCTGTGCTATACTGCCTTCTCTGTGCATCCTCTGCCACATTATGTGTGCTAATCATAATGCCCCTTTTCCCCCTTAACTCTCCCTTCCCACCCATCCTCCCCAGTCCCTTTCCCTTTGGTAAATGTTAGTCCATTCTTGGGCTCTGTGAGTCTGCTGCTGTTTTGTTCCTTCAGTTTTTTCTTTGTTCTTATACTCCACGGATGAGTGAAATCATTTGATACTTGTCTTTCTCTGCCTGGCTTATTTCACTGAGCATAATACCCTCTAGCTCCACCCAAGTTGTTGCAAATGGTAGGATTTA